CGGAGCCGGAGCGAGAAAAGGGGGCGGAAAGAGCGAGCGAACGAGATGGATAAAAGGAGAAGATAATACAATCCGTGGGCAACGCGCTTCCTTGAAGGTTATCCTAAATAGTGTTAAGGGGGGGGTGTTTCTCTCGCAGAGAAATAGAGAGAGGTAAGAGGAAGGGAAGAGGAGAGAGAGAGAGAGAGATCCCCCTCCTCCTTTCCTGTTTTACTGTCCTTCACCACGAGCGCTTCGGCACCCTTCCCGTTTGGACGGGAGAAAGGCTGGGCTCGGGCGCGGGCCCCTCCACCCCCGGGGCGCCCGGTCGGGGCGCGTGTGCGCCCAGGAAGGGACTAGAGCCGAACCTTCGGGTGGGGTCCTCGCCCGCCAGGAGGTTGTCAGCCAGGAGGGATGTCTGGCGGCGGCGGCGGCAAACAACACGTGGGGCGGCCGCGGGGGCGCTGATCCCAGCGGTTTCTTCCCCTCCCCGGGGTAATAATGAAGGCGAGGAACTCGTGGGGCCTGGGAATCCATAAGGCAGCGGCAGTCCACCGCCCGGGGTAGGGAATCGCCGCTCTTCTGGTCTCATCCGCGAAAGGAGCACAGCTCCCATGCACGAACGTAGGAGCGGATCGGTGCTGTAGGCCAAGGAAGGCCTTCTATGGCCACCCAAACCGCTTCTCCAAATAGAATAGGTACATACTGTCGCAGCCTTGATAAGCTTCTGTGAAATTATCAGCTTGTAAGATTCTCCCTGTAATTAATAGAGATGCTGGGAAGCAATCACCTGCCCCATTCACAACCTGATTCATAGACACCACCACCATCACCACCCCCCATTTCATACAAAGGCATTGATGGGGCAGAACACAGTAGAGACAGAACCAACTGCATCTAATTTGCAAGCCCCTTCCCTGCACAGTTACATTTTATATCCCCCTTGTTGGATGGGAGGAGTGTTAGGAGTTAGCCAGGCAGCAGGACTTCTTCTTCTGGGCAAAGGAGACTTTGACTAGGCCACCAGATGTATCCTTAACAAGGAGAGAGAAGTGGCTGCGGCTTCCTGGTGAGCATGGTTTTGGACTACAGTTCTGAGGATTTGGGTCATATTTTCCCAGCTTTGAGCACCAGACATTTGTTAGTTGCATCTACTTGTTACCTTTTGAGGTTCATGCCTGAAACATCTTAGGTGTGCATCTAGCAATAAATACTTTGTATTAAATTCCAAGGTGGCACCTAGCAAGACTTGATGGTCACTAAGGGTGTGATCACATAGGAAAACAGATCACATTTTGAACTGCTAATGGAGCAGTCTGGTGCAATCCATTTCCTGGTGCTCACATGCAACATATGGAGAAATGTGTTCCAGCCTGACCTGATCCATGCTCAAGCTGGATTTTCTTTGTTCCAGCTGTAAAGCTGGGGCAATTTTGTAGCAGACTGAAGGGTCACTTTAAGGGAGATTGCTCCCTGCAAGCAACCCTCTTTGATGCAACCAGTTGCACACCTTTCCAGCTATCTGATCGAACCCTCAGCTTCTCTCACTCGTTTGCTATATGTTATATTGTGCTGTCAAATTGCATTCATCTTACAGCAAACCTAATTGGGTTTTCAAGACATGTGCGATTTTCCAACAGTGGCTTTGCCAGTGCCACTCCCCGCCCCCCAATGATTTTCCATAGCTGATCAGGATTTGAACCCATGTCTCTCAAATTCATGCCTATCACTGTCCACTACAGCACTGGTTCAACAATGTAACATCATGTTGATTCCAAATTATGGTGACCCTTGTCAGGGTTTTCTACATACAAAGTGCTGAGAACTGGTTGAGCAGTTCCTTCTTCTGATGACACTCAAGGACTGTGTAGCTTGCCCAAAGCTACATGGGCTTGCTCTTCTCCCAGAAAATACAGTGGGGAATTGAACTCATGACCTTTGGCTCTGCAGCCAGGTACATATCCAGCCAGCCAGCTTTGCTATATAACTAAGATTTCTCCCCATATACAAATGTTTAATGTTTCCCTTAGGAAGGAAGAGGTGATTGGCATGACATTGGGGATACTCATCAAAAGGAGTAACAGCACAAAATTCATGAGAAGGAGGGAGAGTAATATCCATATCTTGAACTAATGTAGAGGTTCTCAGCCCTGGATACACAAATCAGTCCAGTGATCCATCTGACTATGCCTTTGTACATTAATAGCTAATAATTCTTCAATATTTCCAGCTGATCTTCTGCAGCAAAGAAACCCACATCCTTTCTCAAAACCAGTCCAAAAATCCACATAAGCCCTAGTACAGTACAGTCTGTCTACTGATTTTCTAGGCAAACACTCAAAGAATTCAATGTATTAATTCTTGATTCAACAGCTTTCTTATTCACTTCCCAGTAACTTCAAAATGCCAAATGATAAGGCTATTTATATTGAGAAGACAACTCAAGTCTTCTTAATCTAAGCAACATATCTATAAATATTGTAACTCAGAATCCCATTTTCTGCATACTGAATCCATAACTCCTTCCAAACCCACCATAATCAAATAATCTCCGACTAATTTATAAGAGAAATTCCAGTTGTGATCTTGATTGTAAAAAGATCCTTCAGCAGGTTTTGAGGCATTAAATCCACTGTCTATATGATGTTAAGAGAAATAATTAGGTTTGAAATAATAATTTATTGTGCCCCAGAACTCCAAGAGGTCATTTCTGTGCTCTGGAGTCTTTATTGGGAATGGAAAGGAGAAATGACCTTTTCAATGACATGTGGTATTCAGCTGGGGTCCTAACAGCTCAGGAGGAATTGGCTGCCAACTGTTCATCCTTAATCCATAAATTATTTTATAAGATTCACAGGAATCACTTTGCCCTTCCCTGATATGCAGCAGCTGTTCAGTCGCACACAGCACTGGAGCACCAAACTCTAGGGTAGGAAGCAAAAAAGAATCTTCTAACCAGTTGTAACAACAATGGGATTTCAGGGAGGGAACAGACTACAGTTATCCACTGACACTCTTGACTAGAATTCTACATAGACTAAGCAAAATAACGGCTTTTAATAATCACACATTACTGGAATTTGTAACTGTAAGTTCACCTAAAATATTGTTTCTGATAGGAAGACATTCTGTCTCACTCATCCCGATTTGGTGCTCTCCATCTAATCCGGGTGGGGGCTTCTGGGAACTATTGTCCAACATGGTTGAAGAGGCCATTTTGCATTCTGCACTGCACTGTGCATCTCTTCTACAGGTATCATTCTTATATTAACATTATCAATCCCAAAAGTCATTTCATACTGATTTTTTTTGCCTCAAAACATTCATATCTACACAGCAGGTTTCCATCAGTTTTACATTTGCTTAATTGTTGTGGCTTTCCTCATAAAATCCTAGGGATTTTCATTTGCCACTTAGAATTTTGCAGCCTGAAGTGCGGGATAAAGTACTGTTTACACTTGCTCTTTATACAGAAGCTAACTGCACTGTCAATTGAATCTTATTTTAACATTGGTTGTGGTATAGCATTCTCCACTGTAAAACTTCAGAAAGGTAATTTGCCTTTATTATTCATTATAATATTTTGAAAGTAATATCTAATCATTACTAGTTTTCAGTGTTGGAAACTAACTCATCAACTTGCCAGTTCTACTATTTGTTACTTTAAAAAAAACTTCGGATTTGATAGGAGATGGCATACAACTTGAAAAATTCCTGTCAAAATATCTCCAAAACCACTTCAAAGCGCTGCTAAAATGTAAGTGGAAAATATTGCATGCTACACTAATAAAGTAATTTCATACTCACTAGTTACATTATGTTTCATATTTAATCTCCTTATGCCCTTTTCACAAACTAAACAAAACCCTTCAGCATCTGCCACCTGAGCAGGTTACTCAGTCTTCCCAATAGCAGGGACACTTACTTAGGTGTTCCTTTTAATAGTGTCGCTCAGCATAAAACATAGATGAGCCCATAGCAAGGGTGTCCTGGAACTTAAAAAGCACAAAAATATGTCAGCTGGCTCTGTGTCATAGTCTGTCTGAAATCTGAGGAGATCTCCTATGCATATCCTGCTGTATAGAATTAGCATCAGAAAAGATCCCAAGTATCATTTAGCCCAGACCTGTGTCAGTGCAGAACATCGCCAGCTGAAGGATCCGTGACGAAATATGATTTAACTAAACTGTGAGGAAGTATTTTTCATTTGCTCAGCTGGGAGATTCCCCCCACCCCCGCTTGGTGGGAATAGTTACCTCCCTCTTTCTTTCCCCTGGTCTCTTAGCCCAGCCATTCTCAACGGGGGGGGGGGCATATGACCCCAGGGGGTGTGTGCTGGCACATTTGAAAAAAAGGATACAAACTAGAAACCACTCTTCACACACCACCATATATGGTTCGCCATATGACTTATGCAATCCTGATTCAGCCTCTATTTCTTTCATATTGTCTTTATGGCCGTGGACAAAAAAGGCTGAAAATGTCTGCCCTACCCCCTCACAAACAAATTACCAATTTACCTGTAGATTGTTTCTGCCATATCTTTGGTGGCATATATGGCTTCATTTTGTATTTAGCAATTTCTCAGTTCATAGACGAAATACATTTAACACAGTTCTGCCCAGAATCTATTCTAGATTTCTGCCCACGAAGCGTCTCTTACAATGTATAATAAAAACATATTAAATATATTTTAAAAGGGACAAACATTGGTGTGTGCCAAGTGGCGGCTACATAAAAGAGTTTCAGTGTCATGTAGTGGCTAGTGTGATAGATAAAGAGTTGAGAGTCCTCCGTTCAGGTCCCCTCTGGGGCCATGACACTCACTGAGGCCGGGGACTCTTTCATTTTGACCTCTTCCTGTGAGGATGGTGTGGGAAGACAGCTACTTATGTCAAGATAAAGCAATTGGAGAGAAGGCAGGTTGTGAATGCAGTAATAACTAAATGAATCACTTAGGTGGCACTGTGCTAAGTGCCTCCTCTCAGCTAAGCTCACCTCACTGTGAGGAAGCTGTGGAGATGGCTCCAGGTAGGCTGCTTGGAGTTCTTTAGAGTAAGAGGAGGAGGAGGAAGAGCTTCTAGTGCTCAGTGACCCAGTGAAAGCTTTCCATGGAGAAGCTCCCAAGTTCATTTGCCTGCCCAATAGTTACCTTGTGGAAGATATGAAGCAAGGCAAAATATTTATAGAGTTGTGCACATTGGCTTTTTTGGACTACAACTTCCCCAGGCACCAAACCTTCCTATTAAGCACCAACATTTTATTAAACTTCAGAGTGGTGAGTGTCCAGTGCCCAATTCCAGATTATATACATGTTCACACAGAAGAGTTTTCCTCATATATGCAACCTGGCAAAGAAAGAGAACTTAATTAGCTGCTGTCCCTTCCTCCTTGACTGGAGGAAGCATGATCACTTAGGCTGTGATCTTAAACCATTTTACCTGGGAGTAAAACCCACTGAATTCAATGGTGCTTACTTTCAAGTAGCCTTGTACAGGCTTTTGCTGTCAGTCTTGCAATTCTATTTTTTTATTATGTAATTTCAACCTGATAAGAAAAATTATTAGCTATCCAACTTAGCACTACTAGAGATTTATGCAAGAGACAACCAAATTAAACCTTCAAAACAGTAGCCCTGAAATTGAGAGTACACTTGAGATCATATTCCAGTTAATTTCAGCACTGCAATTTCAGTACTCTCTTTTTCAATGGAAGAAGGAATGAGATTGCAAAGCTGAAAGAGTGAAGAAAGGGTCTTGTGAACAATGGCATATTGCATTTTTGGTGCACAAGGGCTGAACAGTTTAGGACATTTTTATTTATTAAGGGTGGGGGATACATGTTCTTCCAGATGATTATAGACTCCATCTCCTTTAAGCCACAGCCAGCACAACCAATAATGAGGACCGATAGGAGATGCAATTCAACAACTTCTGGAGGCCACAAATTCTCCCATCTCTTCTAGATATAGAACAACAGGAGTCCAAAAGCATCTGAAGAGAAATGCCAAAGAGAGTGCTAGAAATATTTTTTGGCTTTGGCTTGGTATTCATGCTTTCGTGAAAAAGGTTAATTCATAGTAGTACAGTAATCACATTTGGAACATGATGTCACATTATAGTCCTTTGAAGGCATCAATAGAGTGGTGATCTGACTTTGCTCTCATATTCTTCTAGGTGACTGTCTCGGTGGGGCCACACTGACCATGCTCAGGAGCTTCTTTCTCCAGCTCATGCCCTTGCTTTGGATCCTATTGGCCCATCACCATTTTACGCAAGGTGAGGATGAGTAAAATGTTAACTTGGAGGCATAAGATCTCCTTCAGCAAGAAAGAGAGCGATTGTCTTATTCTTGTCATGGTGTATGCAGGAGCCCTTTGAGTAACTAATCTTGTTTTGCCATTCTCAGATCTCTAGTCTTGTTTCGCCCAATATTCAGGTGCCAGGTAAATACATCAGCTTCAGCAATACTTGCATGTATGGGTGCAGGGCTGGATAAAGATCTGCCAACGCCTTACACTATAGTAAGAGAGACTATAGAGACCCGATAGTACTCCAAAGCTGGGCTAGGTATCTGGCTGTAGAGCCAAAGGTTGGGAGTTCAATTCCCCACTGTGATTGCATGGAGAAGACCCAGCCTGTGTGGCCTTGGGCAAACTTCATGGTCCAAGGATGCCTCCTGAAGAATGGAATGGTTAACCACATCTAAGTACAGTACTTTTTACCTAGAAAATCCTGAAAAAGGTCACCATAAGTCAGAACTGACTTGATAGCTGCAATTATTATATTATAGCATACCAAAACAATGACACTTGGCAATTATTATAGCATACCAAAACAATGACACTTGACATCTGGGTGGGTTTCTTGGTTTGGTTCTCAATTTAGTATTAAAAACACTTCCCTAATTTGAGGGCCAAACCTTTGTTTACTAGTTTACTTAAATTGTTATTACAGCTTTGTCCCCACACAACTCAGAAAGTCCTTTTTGTTCCATCTAAGGCACAATTTTGCCATGTTTAAGGCCCTGTAACACCCTTGGAATCCCCACACCTTCCCAACTATTTTTAAATACTAAATCTTTTTTAGGCAGTGGAGAGAATGAGGGGGCATTTCCAGGTTTAAAACCTTTCCGCTTTTTTCATGAAATGTATTTTTTAAATTAACAACCCATTGTTGCAATGTTTAGAAATATTTTAAAAAACTAACTATGCAAATGAGTCTCTGTAGCCCTTCCCTCTTGGAATGGCAGCCCCCAGACAAATCTGAAAAATGGCCCTCAGCCTTGCCAAGATTGCTCACCTCTGCAGTACTAGATCCCCTGCGGATTTCAATCATAGTTGTTGGTATACTGCTAGTGGAAAAATGCCATTTGAATATGTAGTGTGTAGATTATAGTAAGACAGATAACAGAATTTATATGGCACATGTCCCTGAATGAGACCACACATCCCAAAGTCAATCCGACAGAATGACATTCCTCCTCTCATAGGATTGTCAGCTAGAGGCAGAAAGCTCTGCTTAATTTTCCTGCTTAAGTAGATGTTGCATGACAGTGTGTTTTGCTCCCTGTATTGTTGTTGTTGTTCTTGTTAAATCTGAAGCATCCTTTTAAAGCCACAGATGCAAATGAAAGCATGACAGAGGGATAGGTTATCTTACCTCCGCCCCTGAGTTTTTGTTCAAAATATCTCCCATTGCTTTTGCACCTATAGAGGGAAAGTTATCTGTATCTTTTCCCATGTAGGTGAAAAGGCAGCATGAGTGGAATATTGAGTAGAAAAATGGAAGAGAAATGATTTGTAGTCTTCCCACATCCCATTTTGCCATCCCTGTTTCAGACTCAAGGCCTTCTGATATGTCTTTGGGCTGAAAAAGCAAACGAAGAACACAGGAGACAGTACATGCAACTATTGCATAACTTCTAACTGCCTTGCAGTGCTGTAGTTTGACAGGTTTGAGGATTTGCTCCATTTCTTCTCTGTCTGAACTAACTTTTTTTAAAAGTTGGGGGTCCTTGTACAAAATCCAGCAATAAGGGTGAGTGATATTTTAATTAGACCACTGAAATATCAAGAACAGTAGAGGACCCCAAAGTTCATCTTTATATTTTTATATATATATTAGCAGTTTAGTAAATGTATTACTCCCCCCCCTTTTTTTTGCTTAAACTAGTTATGTCCCTTACCTGTATTTTTAGGCACACAGTGACACCTGCTGGACATTATATGAAAGGCCTAAAACAGAGACCATACCTGAGGGTCAAATTAGAAAATTCATGCAATGGATAAAAACCTGTATGGATCTTTTTATTTTGCCTTTTCAAAGCAGCAGTTATAGGAAGCCTCAGTGTGAACTGGGGCCAATGCGTGAAGGGCAAGAGAGGGCCTTCTTGTACTAGTTCTCAACTATATATAGACTGTGGTGTAGTGGATAGAGTAAAGAACAACATATTAGGGGTGCTGTAAGTTCTTGGTTCTGACTTGATGGCACATAATACACACAAACAATTGTCATCTAAAATTACATCTCCACACACCACTTTCTGCCTTGGAAAGGATCAGAAGCTTTCCCCACAATGGGAAACAGCAGTTTTGGGGGGCAGTTTTGACAGGGAGAAGGGGTTAACCATTGTTTCCTGTTCCACACAATATGGTTTATTTACAGACTTGGAGATGTTTACATAATTAAGAAAAAATCAATCCCTTGGAACAATTCTAATTTTCATCTTAATTGGTGAGACTAAGCAGTTGAAACATGTCTGGCCTCTGTGTTGGAGAAGCCCAGTTCAGTTTTTAAAATGTTCCTCAGTTGAAGCTGTTTTGGGATTATATTCATTTCTTTGCGTATACCACGTAAGTAGGCATCCTCATGCAATATTAGCTGCCTTGGTTTATCAGATTATGCCTCTCTGTTTAAATCAAGGAAAGAGAAAAAAGCCACGTGTCCCACCTTTGATTTCTTCCATTGGCTTTTGTCAGCAGAATTTTGTTCATTTTAAAATCAGGCAAGACACCATCCTCAGTAACAGCTAATACCTTTCGAACAATCTCCATTGGCAGTTGACAATTCCTGGTCACTCACGTATGTTACTACCACCCACTCTTAAAATGTCAGAAGATCACGCCTTCCCATCAGGCTACTTACTAAGTAGCTAACGCCATTGAACTGATCTATGACAGAACTCTAAGGAACTGTTATTCGTATCACATTGCATTGCTGTAGCTTACCATGATGTTGCAGGGGATTATCATACTGATTCAGGCTTCATTCTGCTAAAGTAGTGGGATGACAGAACAAATGCAAAAGAGAGCATACATGGTAGTTGTATGGCAGTCGGATTGTAGTATACTGGTCTAAAGACCTATTTACTATGTAGCAAAAGAAACCTAGTGGATGAGCTGGACAAAAGAAGTGGGTTTCTTCAAAGGTTATAAAAAGAATGGAATTTTGAAGTTTGGAAAAGTGCCCATGGCTTGAAAAATCTTGGAACAGTGGAGGGCAGTTTCCAGAATCCCCTAGGGATTTACTTTGCAAAGTTTACGAAAGAAGACCAAATACTTCAGGAGGTCCCCAGGCACCCAGAACAGTAGTTAGGCTGGATTTGGGATTCTGGGACTTGTGGTTTCAAAATATTTTTTTCCAAGCTTTGAAGTGTTAATACTTGTGAGCTGAAGTGGGTAAGCACACTTTGCAGAATGTAAGGGAACAAATGAATAAAATATTTCAATAGTCCAAAACAGTGGGGGGGGGAGTGGGTAACAATCAGAATGGTATCTTCTTGTTAGTGATGCCATGAGTCTTATCGAGCAGAAAATTCCCTTTTGAGTCCTTATTTTTTTCTAGATGTTAATGCAAGAGTGTATTACACATACCTAGGATTGTCCACACAGTTGGTGTTGGTTGAGGACAGCCCCATTAAGCCGATTAAGACTTGGAGTGCATTCATATTAGCATTTTCCAACAGCATAAATAAAAATGGCCCACCCAGTTATTTCTGAGAGTACAGGTAAATTCCAGAGTGGTTGCTGACAATAGTTCGCTTCTAGACCTTCCTTTGTAGTCGTAACATACTGTAAGGTCTTCAGGTGTGAACAGAATATTATTGTCTCAAGTGTTTGTTAATGTGGTTGATGATGGAATGTAAGGTCAGCTCTCTTCATTTCCTACATTGACATCTCCTCGCTCTCTCATTATCTTTACCATCACCTTCTCCCACTTTCCTCTGCTATGAAGCTTTTGGAGAAAAGCACAGTGACTCATGGACTGGAGGAGTGGGGTGGAAAATCATCCTAGAATTTCAGAGAAGGTGTCCCACAGAGAAAGTGATCCACAAACCACTCATCAGAGATAACCCCTCAGGGCTAGCATTAATAATATTTTTAAAATTCATTAAATCCATTTTCTCTCCCAAACTTCATTGTTTCTTCCCTCGGCATGTACCCCTCCCCTCTCCGAAATGCATATTCCAAGAATACACTCCATATTTTCTCAAAATCATTATTTTTTGATAGGCCTTATTTTCATATCACATGTCATTTTATCATTGATTGCCATAACCCATAGTTCTCTGTACTGTTCATCTAAATTAACTTGGTTATCATTTTTCCAGTTTCTTGCAAAAATTAACTTTCCTGCTATAATCATTATTACAATTAAATCCTTATTTTCTTTCAACAATTGATATTTCTTAACCATGTTCAATAAAACCATTGACAGGGACATTTGAATATTTAATCAAGTTATTTTCCTTATTTCTTTAAAGATTTGTTTCCATTCTTTCTTTCTTACTTCACATAACCACCACATATGTAAAAACGCCCCCTTCTCTTTTTTACACCGCCAACATAGTGATGATATGTTTTTATTTATTATATTCAATTTTACCGGCGTTAAATACCACCTCCATATTACCTTAAAACAGTTTTCCTTTATCCTTACAGACAGGTTCTTCATAATCGTTGGTCCCGCATTTTATTCCATTCTTCTCCTAGTGCTTCTTTATCCAAATAATGTTGCCACTGTGTTTTTAATCCTTGTGTATCGTGTTCGACCTGAATTAAAAGTTTATATATTTGAATTACAGTTCCCTTTCTTTCTGTCATTTCCTCTAATTTCAGTCTTTTTTCAATAATTGCTTTAAATTTTGTAATTTTTGTACTTTTCCCTTCCTTACTTTTCCATTCCCTTGTCTACCTTTCTATTTGAAACATATTAAACCAAGAAATCCCCTCTCCTCCCAAAATCTCTTTTATATTTCCTTTATCTTTCATCTTCTC